TATTTTTTTTGGTATTTAATATTTATATATATAGTTATATATATATATTTATATAGTGCGTATCAATATGCCTTTGCTTTTGTTGCTCTCCTCAACAATCTACATAAGACTCATATTGTTCCATTGACGTGACCCCCTGTATGTAAACTGAGTGTGTCTATCGATATACATTTCGGAACAACCGTGTCATACCACCCAATTTGCAAATGGGAATCATTTATGTACATATGCATGTAAACCAAAACTATACATCATCAAGTTGTTTGAATATTGATTTTAGATATTTGTATCTCCTTGTGTGTGACATACATCTTGTATAATATCGGCTCGTACTGTTATCAATTGCCCTACAATCAAGTATATATATATTTTTTCTTTCGTAAAATCATGCAGTGTTATCAAATATGTCGATATCACTTTTATCAAAATTTTTCTAATTTGATGTACAAGAGATATGTGTATATGTGCGTCTACTTCTGATACTGAATGTATGTGTATATGTTTTGTTGAAGGGTACACTTTTCGTTTCCTGTGGTCTTATCCGAGCCCTCTACAAGCTTAAATAGGCATAAATAATGGATACATGTATTTATAATACTTGCCACTTCTTTCTTTTGTATGTCCCGATACAAATGATTGTACTTTAAGGTGTGCCTTTACTGACATTGTTTGTGTCTTGTGCTATTGTTAGATATAGTGCTATTGTTAGATACAGATGTCTGGATTTATAGTATAGGAGCGTTCGTTCTCTCCTGCTGTTGTTGTGCTTGGTCGTTAAGTATATGGGGGCCGTCTTTGCAATCTCACATTTTCAGCGCTCAACGTGGTCTCAATATTAACCACGGTGAGATATCCACTCCAATTTATGTTGCAAACTATGGACCATTCTAGTCTGTATCACACCATGCAGAGTAGCATCATACTTAAAGCAGTTTGTCTATGCATACGCTACGCTGAGCCATTTGCGCATAAGCGACCGATTAGTCTGTTCAATAGGAAGTGTTGCTACTTAGTAAGGCAGCAGATGCAAACATGCGCACGCCATCAATGAACAATCTATAGTCCCTTATGCTTAGGAGTTTTCTAGATGAATGAGTTTAATGCTGATAGTGCAACAGCTGCTAGTATGTGCTCGACAACAAACTCTTCTACGGAGAGCCCGAAGATGAGATTAACACAGCTACTTATATGTACATCTCATTGGTATATCTTTAATATTACCTTTTGTCCAGGTGGAGCTAAGCTGGATGAGACCAAAGATATTAAAGAAACGTCCCATGACACGAAGCCGACAGATGATACAAGGAGGGCCGAACGGCGAAGAGAACGTAAAAACAGATGGGAAGACGGCCCCCCTACAGATGCCACGGCGAATGCAACAGCGCAGACTGGTAGGTTCGTACCGAGTTGTATATGGGTGTCTGTTTGCATTGTGTCGCGTCTGTTTGTATTGTGTATATATGTATATATCCGGCTGTATTGTGTACATATGTATGTCTGCTTTAAGTGTATATAAGTGCGCTGGGATGCCAATACATTTCTTAGTTTTTGCGATAAGCTGGGAGTGCATCTGCGAATAAGAGGGAATAGTTAAACCAGCCCACAGAATAAGAGCGAATAGTTACACCAGCCTACAGATGCCCTCAGCATGCTCTGTGTTGTTTCTCCTTCATGGATACGAGTATATGCTATCGAATACGGGTATCTCAACCTGTGCCAGTGCACCTACTTGTGTGCGTGTTATCGCCTGCGTAAGCGTCTGTTCGTAACCGTCAGGATAGTTTAGTTATACAAATTGTAGAAATCAAATGCGTTCAGCCACACCATGTACGTCGTATTAGCGAATCAGTATCTGCCAATAAGCATAATATTAAGTGCTTATTTGCTGAACTATAAGGTTCCGCATACAGCATATTTTATTGTGTATTACCGTTGATACACCCGACCTTTCACAGCCGATCGGAATACGCCACATGTGTGTGTGATGGGGGAAGTTTGTATGTCTGGCATAGTAGCGTCCTGTTTGCGTCATTCGTGTCTGGTCATATCAGCCGCAGTCAAGTATGTTGAGCCTTGTTGTGCAACGAAAAATCAATGAGTAGGAAGCACACATGGGTCTGTCGGTCACATTTTTGAGTATGTGTTAGGCCTTGAAAGTCCACCCCAGCTCCATTAATGACACATACTCACTCGGATAAACTGTGTTCCGTACTGATAGCAACATACTACAACGGCCTACTAGTTGATCAACAAAGTGGTTAATAGCTGCCAATGTTTGTTTGCTTAACACTCTGTGTGCATCGTCTGATCTGGTGTCCTAGCCACCTCAAATTGCTTCAGAATCAGAGTGTTGGATTACGTCGAATTCCATATTACTAGCACCCGCATATGATGTGGTGCTATGTAATGCCTTGCGTTGCTAGGGCACTGTCACCTTGACAACACGGTCACTCGACTCTCTAGCACCACAGCGACACCAATAGCCTGCTACGCTATGACACTAACTCTATTGCATCACACTAAAATAAACTTTTTCTCGCTGCTATACGTAAACAATGTATTTATATAATACTTAGACCCTGTCAAAAAAGCAGCAGAGGAGGCCATTAAGAAGGCTACAGCGATGGCTCTGGCGGCTAAGTCAAATATCGGCACGAGCGGTGTCAACAATCCGACATATACAGAGAGCAAGGAAGTGGTGCAGAAGCGGAAGCTAATATGGGGAAATAAAAAGGTACACACTGGGAAGTATCTACAATTCGACCCTAAAGGCACGACAATATGTTGTCAGATTGGGGAAGACGTGTGTTGAAAGTACATTCAGAATGATTGTGTGTTGTATCTGTATTTCTAAACATTAAACCCAAACTGTGCATTTGTCTGATGTATGGGAGTACGCACGGGCGCGGTGTCTGAGCTGTTTGAATCTCAGAGTGCGCCTTAGTCCGAATTGTGATCGTTGATTGTCCCTGTTGAGTACCGTTGCATGTGATGGCCTGACACAACCCGATAAGACGGGTTATACCAATGTGATCTAAAACCCTAACCCTAAAACCCTAAACCTTATGTGTGTTTCTGCGATCTCAGTGTCTCCTGTGTAGCTACGCTGTACACCTATAGCTCACTAAAGATGTTGTGCACTTGCCTGGTACAGTGTGCGCGCTCCTCTATAATCTGGGTATTGGTGATGAAACACCCCCACTCATATACAGCCATACAGAGATGCCTACTGCCCATGCGCATGCTCATTCCCTCGGCGAATCTTGTCTACGAGTTCACCAGTTTGTGTGTGCGGGCGTGCTAGATCAGATCGACGACTGTTAATAGCCTAACGTCAATGGTATGATGCTGTGGGTTTCCATCTCGAAACGAAACCGCAGGTATAGCCATGACCACTGGTGGCTACGCATGAAACACTCTCCCAACCCTTCTACTCATGTACTACTCTCCCAACTCTTCTACGCATGAAACACTCTCCCAACTTTTCCACGTATGAAACACCTCCCAACTCTTCTACGCATGAAACACTCTCCCAACTTTTCCACGTATGAAACACCTCCCAACTCTTCTACGCATGAAACACTCTCCCAACTCTTCCACTTATGAAACACCTCCGAACCCTTCCACGTGTGAAACACCTCACAACTCTTCTATGCATGGAACACTCTCCCAACTCTTCTACGTATGAAACACTCTCCCAACCCTTCCACGTATGAAACACCTCCCAACTCTTCTACGCATGAAACACTCTCCCAACTCTTCCACCTATGAAACACTCTCCCAACCCTTCTACGCATGAAACATTCTCCCAACCCTTCTACGCATGAAACACTCTCCCAACCCTCATACGCATGAAACACTCCCAGCCCTTTTATGCGACACTTCTATCATCGCCCCACACACAAGTTGCGAAGAAAAAATATACTTACATAGTATTCGCAGTCGGCTCAATTACCCACCAATGGCTTATTTAGGGCTTAACTGTCCATGCACGCTGCACAGGAGAAGGTCGCCAAGACCGATACAACGTACAATGAGTGGGAGAAGACCGGGTTTGAGGGGGAGGACGGTGACCATAAAAGGCAGAAGTTTTTAAAACTCATGGGTATGGGCAAACGCGCGCAAAGGGTACCCGAAGGAGACTCAGCTGAAAAGGTGCGGTTGCTATGGTGAGGTGATGGTGATGGTGTTGCTAAGTGCTTTGCGTACTGGCCTGTGTATTAGTGGCGGCATGGCGTGGCTGGTGCTTCTCTTTGTGCACGGCAGCTTTCAACCAAGTGGGTTTGAGATGTGACTCTGAGCATTGCATGAGATACGATTCATGTGCAGCTCCTTACTAGCTGGCGATGTTACTGGTGCAGGTGTTCGTATCGTATATGTACAAGTATGTGTGCAGGTGTTCGGCTTGTTACTTCAAAGAGGTGTTTGCATATGACATACAATTGGGTGCTGTGCTTCTCTGCCTTCCCCAGGCGCAGTCCCGTCAGAAGCAGTAAGTTCACGTATGGCAGTGCTACACTGCCTTACATTCGGTATAGTGTCAGGCAGTATAGCACTACAAGCGCATGTGACTCTGAGCATTGCATGAGATACGATTCATGTGCAGCTCCTTACTAGCTGGCGATGTTACTGGTGCAGGTGTTCGTATCGTATATGTACAAGTATGTGTGCAGGTGTTCGGCTTGTTACTTCAAAGAGGTGTTTGCATATGACATACAATTGGGTGCTGTGCTTCTCTGCCTTCCCCAGGCGCAGTCCCGTCAGAAGCAGTAAGTTCACGTATGGCAGTGCTACACTGCCTTACATTCGGTATAGTGTCAGGCAGTATAGCACTACAAGCGCGAACGTACGTGCTTGAGGGTCTCATCTTCAGCGAAGTGCTCTCTCCTTACTATTGCACCCATGACACTGACATACACTTGAATCTCCCATCTGTACGGCTTCACTCCACGCGCACTGCATGTTCAACTACATATTAACTACATGGTGCTTGTGGGGCGTAGGAGGCCAGTGCTATAACCGCCAAGCCTCCCAGTGGCGTAGCGGACAACACCGCCAAAGCATTGGACGGGACGGAGAAGGCAGAGTCATCGAGCACCGACTCTGCGAAGAAAGCGGCCGATGAACCTGCGGCACCAAAGGCTCTGTCGGGTGGGTTATGTGTTGTGAGGATGTGCACTCGGTGTGCCGTGTTAGTGGTTGGGGTTTACTTGGTTCTCGGTGCTGCTGAGTAACGGTTTGTGTGGGAGAGTATAGTAATTGGCACGGGAATGGTATATGGTATTGTCAGTTTGGTACGAGAATGGTATATGGTATTGTCAGTTGCTATATGATTAAGGCTATATGCTGTTTACTTGTATATAGTGCCACAGATATACTCGTATACGGCATATGTTTATCTGTCCTTAGCGTAATGTATACCAGATTTGATCATCGTCTCACGGTTCGGTTCAAGTGTATGGTCATGATTGTCCTCGTGTGCAAGGCGCACCTGATTGCCTTTTTTCCTACTCAAATTTACAAACTACACGAAATTATCAAGTACCCTTCTTCTGGCCATTGATCTATATTTGGGTAAATATATATAT